AAGGGACCTCTAAAGGCCATCTAGTCCAACTCCCTTCTGCCTTCATGCAGGAAAAAGCACAATCAAAGCACCTTAAAGAGATAGCCACCTAGCTTTTGTATAATAATAATAATACCATACAATCCTAGAGTTGGAAGGAACTGCAAAAGACATCTAGTCAAAACACCCCAAAGAGATGGCCACCTAGCTTTTGTATAATAATAATAATAATAATAATAATAATACCACCATACAATCCTAGAGTTGGAAGGAACCCCAAAGGCCATCTAGTCCAACCCCCTTCTGTCTTCACGTAGGAAGAGCACAATCAAAGCACCCCTGACAGATGGCCACCCAGCCTGTGCTTAAAAGCCTCCACTACACTCCAAGGCAGAGAGTTCCACTGCTGAACAGCTCTCATTACGGTTAGGAAGTTCCACCCTTTCACATATATAAGCCCAGCTCTGGTGCCTCCTTCTCGCAGGGCTTCTTTCATGAGAGAGACGTGCATCCCACAGACACAGGAAATAGGCAAATTACCTTTTATTGGATCCCTTAATGGCGTCACATTTTTGGAGGGTCGGCTGTACCCACAAACGGTCAGTCCGCAGCATGTGGCTCCTCCCCTTTTGGGGGGTGGCCCCAAAAGCCCCTCCCCTTTCCCCGGCTCAGAGGGGGGTCTGCGGGGACTCGGGCACGGTCCCTCCTCCGCCTTGGTTGGCCTTGGTGAGGAAGGCCGTGGCCGAAGCGGTGCTGCTGCTGCTGCCCACGCCTCCGGGGGGGCTCTCGCTGCGCTCTGTCTTCACGAGGGACACCCCCGGCAGGCCCAGGTTGGGGGGCGTGGAGGAGGAGGAAGAGGAGGAGGAGGAAGGCGACGGGGAGAGCTGGGCAGCGGCCGTAGTGGCCACAGCGGAAGGTCCTTTGCTCTCGGAGGAGGAGGAGGCGGCCGGCGGGAGCGAGACCACAATATACTTCTGGACACTGCCGGCCACCGAGGGGTTGGGGGTGGCTGGACCCCCGGAGACCAGCTTGACCAGGGGCTGCGCGCTGGGGACCGTGGTGGTGACCGGCGAGGTGGGCGTCCCGGAAGGGCCCCCGCTGAGCGTGATCACCTGCCGAGAGAAAGCAACAGTATTATATTTCTACATTATTACCTGGGGTACCTGGCGATGCCCGGGTTATTTGAAAAAAACATCATTTATTTTGGGGTGTCAGGTAACCCCATTTAGTTAATTAGTAACACTAAGAGTATGAGAGTATAATAATGTGGCTGTTTTTAAAAATAAATAATACAATAATAATATAATGTAATTATAACATACAATATTATTATTATTAATAATAATAATAATAATGAATAATATAGTATAAAATGTGGCTATTTTAAAAATAAATAATACAATAATAATATAATGTAATTATAACATACAATATTATTATTATTATTATTAATAATAATAACAAATAAAAATGTGGCTATTTGAAAAATAAATAATACAATAATAATATAATGTAATCATAACATACAATATTAATAATAATAATAATAATAATAACGAATATAGTATAAAATGTGGCTATTTGAAAAATAAATAATACAATAATAATATAATGTAATAATAACATGCAATATTATTATTATTAATAATAATAACAACGAATAATATAGTATAAAATGTGGCTATTTGAAAAATAAATAATACAATAATAATATAATGTAATTATAACATACAATATTATTATTATTAATAATAATAATAATAACGAATAAAAATGTGCCTATTTGAAAAATAAATAATACAATAATAATATAATGTAATTATAACATGCAATATCAATAATAATAACAATGAATAATCTATATATATAAAAATGTTTTGTGCATAATGAGTGCACTAAAAACAAAAGAACCAACAAACGAAATCACGCCAAATTTGGCAACAAAACATCTCACAACACAACACTCAAAAAATTATAATTTTGCCATTTGGGAGTTGTAGTTGCTGGGATTTATAGTTCACCTACAATCAAAGAGCATTCTGAACTCCATCAATAATGGAATTGAACCAAACTTAGCACACAGAACTCCCATGGCCAACAGAAAATACTGCAAGGGTTTGGTGGGCATTGACCTTGAGTTTGGGAGTTGTAGTTCACCTCCATCCAGAGAGCACTGTGGACTCAAAGAATGATGGATCTGGACCAAACTTGGCACAAGCACTCAATACACCCAAATATGAACACAGATGGAGTTTGGGGGAAATAGATCTTGATATTTGGGAGTTGTAGTTACTGGGATTTATAGTTCACCTACTATCAAGGAGCATTCTGAACCCCACCAACGATAGCATTGGGCCAAACCTCCCATGTGGGCCACAGCAACGCGTGGCAGGGGACGGCTAGTATAGTATAAAAATGTGGCTATTTTTAAAATAAATAATACAATAATAATATAATGTAATCATAACATACAATATTAATAATAATAACAACAAAAATTATAATTATATCCCCTTCCCCTATTATATATTGCTTTAGTCAAGGTATGTATATGTGAATGTTTTTATATTGAATGTTTTTATATTTAATGTTTTATATTGTGTATAAACTGTTTTAAATTGTAAGTCGCTCGGAGCACCTTGGTGGAGAGCGACTAATTAAGAAATAAAGTGATGATGATGATGATGATGATGATGATGTGGTGTGTGTATACATATATATATTCTTAAGGGAAGGTATCAGTATATTATAATGTTATAATATATATACAAACACACAACGTTTATATATATATAAGGTTAGGTCAAGGTTTTCCCCTGACGTTAAGTCCAGTCGTGTCTGACTCTGCGACTCTGGTGCTCATCTACATTTCTAAGTCAAAGAGCCGGCGTTGTCCGTAGACACCTCCAAGTTCATGTGGCCGGTGTTGCAACCCAGAGCAGGAAACTGGACCCTAAGACAACAATCCACCACACTTGACTTCAGGAAAAACAATCCTTTTTTACTGATGAAAGATGAGTACAAAAATAGAGGAAAATATGCAAGGTAAAAAGCCACAGCAAAAAATCAGCAACAAGGAATGTCCATGAACAAGATCAAAAACCCACAGTAACACTGCTAAATCCTGGAACCTGTTAGCAATCCACTAACCGTACTTGAAGCTCTAGAAAAACTCCTTGGAACAAAGCCACTGGAAGCAGGAGAACTGCAAGAGTCTGCACATGAATCTGAAACGATGCCTGGACTCAATGGGCATCCAGGCCAAGCGTTTTTAAAGCATAGAAATCTATTTCGTGACGTGCCTGAAGGCCGTGTTTGCATTTCTCTTAATCTAGCTGACCTCTGTAAACTCTGCGCTTCACCTCTGCTTTGCCAAATCAGCCTCCATCTATCCTCGTTAGAGGGACCAGGTGTCAGATTATCTGAAGAGCTAAAAGGGAGTGAAAGTTCATGGCTTGGCTCTGAATCATTCTCATGGGAATTTGGACTTTCACTTTCCAAAGCAGCAGGATTTTCACTACACAAACCATCATCTTCTACATTGACCTCAGAATCATTGACATCAGGAAATACAATCAGAGAGTCAGGTACAGGTTCACACACAGGTTGAACCCCAACAGCCAGCAGGAGCGGTACCTACTGATCTACTCACACTTGCATGTTTTTGAACTGCTAGGTTGGCAGGAGCTGGGGGTCACAGTGGAAGCGCACACTGCTCCCTGATTTCAAACTGCCAACCTTTCAGTCAGCAAATTTGTTGGGGTTCAGCCTGAGTTTGAACCTGATTCTCTGTTTATACCTCCTGATGCTAATGAAAATATATTTACTGATGCTAATGAAAATGTACTTCCTGATGTTAATGAAAATGTACTTCTTGATGTCAATGATCCTGAAATTAGTGAGGAAGAAACTTCTGTAGATTTGGAAAATGAAAGTACCAGTGTTCATGAGAATGTTTCAGAGGGAAGCCATGACCTTTCACTCCCTTCTGCACCTGGGAACCTTAATGAGAATAGAAGGGGCCAGATCTGGCAAGACAGGAGTAAATCACTCAGCTTGCGAAGGTCTTCCAGATTAAAAGAAAAACAAACAAGGGCTTCAAAGCAGGGAGGCGTTTCACGAAACCAATTCCCCGGCTTTAAGTGCCTTCCGCCGGGCTGACTTTCTCAGTTCAGGCATCGTTTTAGATTGATGAAGACCTTGGCAGTTCTCCCGGTTCCTCTGGCCATCGTCTTGAGAGATTTCTAGGACACCAAGTACGGTTAGTGGATTGCTAACAGGTTCCAGTATTTTACAGTGTGGCTTTGGGGTTTTGATCTTGTTCATGGACATTCATGTTTGCTGATTTTGCTGTGGCTTTTGACTTTGCATTTTTCCTTTATTTTGTAACTATTATTCATCAATAAAAAAGGATTGTTTTTTCCCAGTCAAGTATGGTGGATGATTATCTTAGGCCGGGCCTCGTTTCCTGCTCTGGATTGCAACAAAATTCAACAGCTCAGCGGTTTAACCCACCACGCCACCAGGGGCTCCAATAATAATAATAATAATAATAATAATAATAATGTAATAATAGTATCATAGAAATAATAACAATAATATATTATAAATTAACTGCACCACTGGGGGCGTGTGTGTGTATATATATATATATATAAATTTAGATTTATGGCTTTATCACCACAGCCCCCTCCCCTCTGGGCATTCTCTGCCGCAAGGCCGTGTACCTGTTGGGAGGCGGAGGTTCCGGAGGCAGAGGACATGACGATGAACTTGGTGGGGGGCGGGGAGGGCTGGGTGGGGGTGGACGGCCGGGCCGAGACCAGCGTCTGGACCGGGAGCGTGATGGCGCCGCCGGGCATCTTCAGCACGCCGGGCGCCCGGGTGGCACCGCCTCCACCGCCGCCCCCTCCTTGAGGTGCCTGGGAAAGGGTCAGCGTTGGGCGTGGCTGAAGCAAAAGAGGAAAAGGAGAGTCAGGAGGAGGAAAGCGGACGAGGAGTCCCACGGAAGCCGTGCCCACTGAACGATCTCCCTCTCTCGAGCTCACCTGTGTGATGGTCAAGGTGGTGCGGTTGACCTGCTGGGCTTGCATGGCGGCCTGGGCCCGGGCCTTGACCACATGGCTGCACAGCAGGGTGCCCAGCGCCCCGTACTCGGCTCGATAGGCCTCCTGGTTGTCAGGCGGCAGGCGCAGCTTGGCCAAGACGGGGGCACAGTGTTTCTAGGGGGAGAAAACGGGGGGTGGTCAAGCAGGAAAGGGGCACTCCTCTGCAAAATGGCCAGGTGCACACTCAGGGGCTCAGCTGTGAGGGAACAAGGAGTGCAACAACATTTATTTACTTACTAGCCGTCTCCTGCCACACGCTGCTGTGGCCCGGTTTGTGTATATGTGTTTTGTGTGTGTATATATTTGTATATATGTGTATATACATGTGTTTGTGTATATATGTGTGGTTTTGTGCATGCGTTGTAATATATTTGTTTTCTTTTTTTGGCTTTTTAAGTCTCTTCTGTTGTGTTTTTCAGTGTTTTGATGAGTGATGGTCACTCGTTGGCCTGAGAGGTGTCTTGTGTCCAAATTTGGTGTCAGTTTGTCCAGTGGTTTTTGAGTTATGTCAATCCCACAAACGAACATTATGGTAAGTAAAAAGCATCTAAGTAAAAAGCACTTTAAAGGAATAGGTAAATCCAATTAGGTAAGAAGATAAGCATGAACACTGAAATGTATTTTTTTTGGCTTTTTAAGTCCCTTCTGGTGTGTTTTTCCCTGTTTTTATGAGTGATGGTCACTTGTTGGCCTGAGAGGTGTCTTGTGTCCAAATTTGGTGTCAGTTCGTCCAGTGGTTTTTGAGTTATGTTAATCCCACAAATGAACATTACATTTTTATTTATATAGATTTTTTCACAACACTTCTACCCAGCCTTTCTCAACCCCCAACAATGACAATAATTCTACCAATGACAATAATTCGATGCCGCAATATCAATATAACAACAATATAGATTAAAAACAATAACATCCACGTTTTTAATTCTCTACGAAAGGTGGACAAGGAAGGGGCCTGTCTGATCTCCTGAGGGAGGGAGTTCCAGAGCCGGGGGGCCACCACCGAGAAAGCAGGCCCTCTCCCTCGTCCCCACCAACTGCGCTTGGGAGGGTGGCGGAAGCGAGAGGAGAGCCTCCCCTGCTGATCTCCACTTTGAAGAAAGAGAGGAAGGAGGAGAGAGAAGAGAAGGAGCTCAAGGCTTGACTCGAGGCAAAAGGGTGGCCCACAGCTCAGAGCCCCCCTCAAAGAAAAGCATGCCCACCCAGGCTTTCCAATTCCCACTCCCACCAAATGAAGAATCCAGAAATGGAAGGGAAATCAGAAAGACGCAATGCGAGAGAGAGGCCAAGCCGAAAGCTGAAGCAAGAGTGAGTGGAGGCAAGGCCGTCGGACTGAATCGCCTCTCTCAAGAGCAAGCCAGGACACAACTAAGCCGTGGGGTGCTCGCCCCATTACATAGACCCATTGGGCCAACAGGCAGGGCTCACAGGGAAATGCGTGGGACCCCGAATAGAGCAGAAGGAGCTGCGACCGGCAGCCACGTGCTCTGGCTCGGTCAGCAAACACATGGAGGCAGAGCCTGTGCTGTCCGTCCAGACGACATAAAAAACGAAACTGCGAGGTGCTTCTCTCTCTGCCTGAGCGAACTGCAGGTGTCCATCTTGAGAAGCTTGAGATACTCAGCAACTGAGGCTATTACTGGTTTTAAACATCAAAAAAGGATATTTATTTATTCACAGTCCTTGAAGACTTGGCACAGTTCAAAGTTGCAAACAATCAGCCAACAGATGAAACTACAAAAAAATTCCTTTCCTTTCTTTAGTTACAGAGGTAACCCTTTCTCCAGATGGCAGGTAAGATCCTGGAATCTTAACACCCTAACCTCAAGCTGTTGTGGTTTAGAAAAAAGGCAGGTTTTCTTTCCCTATCTATATCTTAAGGTTAGTTCTGGAGACAAAGCAGTGAAGACTCTCTCTCTATAACTATATAACTCAATCTTCTCAATTAAGCTTATCTGTCTATAACATCTCAATACAGCTCAATACACAATATACTATCTATATTAACTCAATATAGCTTAATACTTATCTATAATTTATAATCTACTATCTATAGCTTAATATAGCTTACTCAGTTTAGTTTTTGCAATGGTTTTCTCAAAGCTCACTGCCGTCTGAAGTCTTTCCTCAAACTGAAAAGGCAGGGGAGATTCCAAAATGGAGACCTTTCCCTGGGAGAAAAGGCGGTCCCTAAACCCAAAGAGCTGCTCTCTAAGCCAATAGTTGCAAAGAGGCCTGCAGACTCTGATACTATTAACCTTTAGGACTCTTGCAAAGCTGCAGCAGCCCTGGGAGAAAATGCCAGAGGAAACAACCTCAAGCAACTATGAAGTAAGGGAAATCAGGCTCCTGGGAGACGGAACAGAGCCCTTGCTGTTATGGGCGTCCAAAGGAGCCGAAGGCAAACAGCTAAAATGAATCTGTATACAGTCTCTGGTTAGTAGCAAGTTATTCACTTTTCCCTCTTCTCTAAACAGAACACAAACTGCATTTGCTTACAGCGACCCCCCCCTCCCTGAGAGACCCCCCCCCCTCTCCACCATCCCTTCCTCACCAGCAAGAGGCTCTGGACGTGGTCGGCTCCGATCTTGTCGATGTTGCTGACCACGGGGCCCTCCAGCACAGCCCGGACGCGCTCACCCTCCACCTGCAGCCGCGGAAGGATCAGCGTCTTGATCACCTGTGGGGCAGAGAGGGAGGCCAATGGCACTGGGCTCTGCCACACCCTGCACAAGTTTGTAGTCCTCATCAAGGACGTCGATAAGCAGGTGAGTCCGTTGGCAGGGAAAGCCCTCCCCGCATTGTCTCTCCCTCTCTCTATTTCTCCTCCTCTCACTTCCTTGTGAGGCTGATCCTTCTGAGGGACACAGAGCGTGCTCCTGGGTCCTCCCATGAGATGGAGAGAGAGACAAGAAGGGCCTCCCGCAGAAAGAGAGACGGGCCTGTCCTCAAACTCTTTGGTCACTTTTAAAGCTCAACTCTGCTCCTGAACTGTGGATGAAGCTCATTTGCTCTGCTGATAAACTCGAGGAGCTTCTGCCCTGCTAAAACTGCAGGTGCTGCTGCTTTACTCTTCCAAAGACATTATTATTATTATATTTATTTATATCCCGCTTTATCTCTCCTGAAGGAGACTCAAAGCAGCTTGATATAAAAGCACCACATACAACTATTATTATTATTATTATTATTATTATTATTATTATTATTATATTACATATCTATTATTATTATTTGTATCTATTATTATTAGTATTATTTGTACCCCGCTTTATCTCTCCTGCAAGAGACTCAAAGCAGCTTAATATAAAAGCATCAAATACAATTTATATTATTATTATTTGTAATACATATTTATTATTGGGTTGTTGTAAGTTTTTCCGGGCTATATGGCCATGGTCTAGAGGCATATTTTCTCCTGACGTTTCACCTGCATCTATGGCAAGCATCCTCAGAGGTAGTGAGGTCTGTTGGAAGTAGGAAAAAAGGGGGTTTATATATCTTACAACAACCCAGTGATTCCTGCCATGAAAGACTTCGACAATACATATTTTTTATTATTATATTATTATATTATTATTTATATCCTGCTTTATCTGTCCTGAAGAGAACTTAAAGCGGCTTAACATAAAAGCATTGGAATACAATGAGGCCCGCTTATTGTTATTTTATTGTGCATGATTTTGCTTTATCATGTTTTTTGTTTGTTTGTTTTGGACTCATATGTTGTATATATTTTACTGTGTTGTTATTGTGTTTTGGTTTTATTTTATTGTAATATGCTGTTGGGCTTGGCCTCACGTAAGCTGCCCCGAGTCCCCATTGGGGAGATGGTGGCGGGATATTAAATAAAGTTTATTATCATTATTATTATTATTATTATTATTATTATTATTATTATTAATATTATTATATAATTATATTTATTTATATCCCGCTTTATCTCTCAAAGCAACTTAACATAAAAGCAGGCATACATACAATTATATTATTATTATTATTATTATTATTATTGTATTGTCAAAGGCTTTCATGGCCGGAATCACTGGGTTGTTGTAGGTTTTTTCAGGCTATATGGCCATGGTTAGAGGCATTCTCTCCTGACGTTTCGCCTGCATCTATTTTCACCTCACAAGCTCTGAGGATGCTTGCCATAGATGCAGGCGAAACGTCAGGAGAGAATGCCTCTAGACCATGGCCATTTAGCCCAAAAAAACCTACAACAACCTATTATTATTATTATTATTATTATTATTATTATTATTATTATTATTATATTTATATCCTGCTTCATGTCCCCCGAAAGGGACTCAAAGCAGCTTTACATAAAAGAAAGAAAATTGTTGTTGTTGTTATTCTTGTTGCATTTATTTCTACCCTGCTTTATCTCTCCTAAAGAAGAATCAAAGTGGCTTAGCATGAAAGCATTAGAATATAATCTAAATTATTACTATTATTTATAACATATCTATTATTATATTTATTTATATCCCGCTTTATCTCTCCTGAAGTGGACTCAAAAGTGGCTTAACATAAAATGCATCAGCATACAATGTAAAATATACAAATAGGCAAATACTGAAACAGAATTAAATATAAACAGTGTTTAAAAGTTTAGTTAAAATCCATAAAACAGAAGCCTCTGGGCCTGCCATCCACTCACGTCATGTCCAAGCTTATAATATTTATATCCTGTTTTAGGGATACTCAAACCGGCTTAACATAAAAGCACTGGAATACAATTTAAATTATTATATATATTATATAATTGTATTTATTTATATCCCGCTTTATCTCTCCTGAAGGAGACTCAAAGCAACTTAACATAAAAGCATCACATACAATTATTATTATTATTATTATTATTATTATTATATTATATTATTATTATATTTATATTTATACACTGTTTCATGTCCCCCAAAAGGGACTATAAGCAACTTAACGTAAAAACATCACATACAATTATTATTATTATTATTATTATTATTATTATTATTATTATATTTATACACTGTTTCATGTCCCCCAAAAGGGACTCAAAGCAGCTTTACATAAAAACAAGAGCATTCCATTATTATTATTATTATTATTATTATTATTATTATTATTATTATTGTATTTATTTATACCCTGCTTTATCTCTCCTTAAGAAGAATCGGCTTAACATAAAAGCATCAGCATATAATCTAAGTTATTATTATTATTATTTATAATATATCTATTATTATATTTATTTATATCCCGCTTTATCTCTCCTGAAGTGGACTCAAAGCAACTGAACATAAAAGCATCACATACAATTATTATTATTATTATTATTATTATATTTATATTTATTTATACCCAGCTTCATGTCCCCCGAAAGGGACTCAAAGCAGCTTTACATAAAAGCAAGAGTATACAATTATTATTATTATTATTATTATTATTATTGTATTTATACCCTGCTTTATCTCTCCTTAAGAAGAATCAAAGTGGCTTAACATAAAAGCATCAGCATATAATCTAAGTTATTATTATTATTATTTATAATATATCTATTATTATATTTATTTATATCCCGCTTTATCTCTCCTGAAGTGGACTCAAAGCAACTGAACATAAAAGCAACACATACAATTATTATTATTATTATTATTATTATTATTATTATTATTATTATATTTATTTATACACCGCTTCATGTCCCCTGAAAATATACAAATAGGCAAATACTGCAACAGAATTAAATATAAACATTGTTTTAAAGTTTAGTTAAAATCCATAAAACAGAAGCCTCTGGGCCTGCCGTCCACTCACGTCGTGTCCGAGCTCTGCCAGTCCGGCGATGGAGCCGTAGCGCGTGGTCCAGGGCGTCTTCTCGTCCACCCAGCTCTGGGAAGGAGGAGAGGAGGGGTCAAAAAGTGGGGGGCCCTCAGGCCAATCCGGTGGTCAAGGGTCCGGGCTCTGCGGCCTGACCTTGGTGAAGGTCTTGGTGATGCGCGACTGGATGTTGTTGGTGGTGGTGCTGAAGTTCTTGCAGATCTGGGCCACCAGCCGGGCGGCAAAGTCCCTCAGGGCCCAGTGGTTGTCCACGTCCGGCCTCAGGCACAGCTGCCGGCTCACGATGCACGTCATGACCGCCGGGATGAGTTCGTGCAGCTGAGAGGGAAGGGCACACACACAACGGTCAGCAACTATGGCCAGGCCTTGACCCCTCTGGCCCCCCTGCACACCCCACCTCCAACTCACGTATTTCTCCAGGTAGAGGGTGGGGTTGTCCATCAGCGCCTTCACCATCCGCATCAGGTAGATGAGCAACGCCAGGTTGTTCTGGACGACGTTCACGCGCACCTGGGTGAGGAACGCACTCAATGAATGGCTTGCACGCTCGGGCCCGGAAAAGCGCCCATTCAGGCCAGGCCCCGCCCTGGAGAAAGAGCCTGGAAAGCGCCCCTGGATTAACCCTGGCAGGAAAGGGGCTAATGAGGAATCCAGAGATTGCTGGGAGTCTTGCAGGCTGTCTGGCCATGTTCCAGCATCATTCTCTCCTGACGTTTCACCTGCATCTGTGGCTACTGGCATCTAAAGAGGTTCTGTTGGCAGTGAAGCAAGTGGAGTGTGGATAATATACCCATGGAACGAGGCCCAGGGTGGGAGAAAGAGCCTTTGTCTGTTTGATGCAAGGGTGGATGTTGCAATTAGTGAGCTTGCAGATGCAAAGTCAACCAGTGAGGGTATCTGCATAGAGGTAGCCTGGCTGTTGTTGCCTGGAGATCCTCTGTTTGGGAGGCGATAACTGCCTGTTGGTTCTGTTTCTGAGTGGTGTTCTGGGCTGCACAGGCCAATGGGTATGTATTCTATAATCATAAGAGGTAAAGGTAAATGTTTTCCCCTGACACTGGGACTCTGGTCCATGTCTCCATTTCTAAGCCGAAGAGCTGGCGTTGTCCATAGACACCTCCAAAGTCATGCGGCCAGCATGACTGCATGGAGCACCATTACCTTCCCGCTGGAGTGCTACCTATTGATCTACTCACATTTGCATGTTTTCGAACTGCTAGGTTGGCAAAAGCTGGGGCTGCCAGTGGGAGCTCACCCTGCTCCCCAGATTCGAACCTCTGACCTTTCAGCCAACAAGTTTAGCAGCTGAGTGGTTTCACCCACTCCACTTGCTTCACTGGCAACAGACCTCTGAAGACTTGTGGCTGGCATGACTGCATGCAGTGCCGTTAATTTCCTGCCTGAGCAGTACCTATGGATCTACTCACATTTGCATGTTTTCAAACTGCTAGGTTGGCAGAAGCTGGGGCTGCCAGTGGGAGCTCACCCTGCTCCCCGGATTCGAACCTCTGACCTTTCGGTCAACAAGTTTAGCAGCTGAGTGGTTTCACCCACTCCACTTGCTTCACTGGCAACAGACCTCTGAAGATGGCACTGGCCACAGATGCCGGTCCAGCATATATTTCCACATTCTCCAATAATCGTAGGAGGGAATGCTGCTGGAGCATGGCCACGCAGCCCAGAAAACTCACAGCAACCCAGTTGTAATTGTCCCGCCAGAGTTTATTAACCTGCCAATGTTTGTTATTGTCATTCTGTTCCGTAAGAGCCCCCTCGCCTCCCTGCCCCCACCCCCCGGGCATGGCCTTACCCCTTCCGAGATGAAGGTGCTGAAGCGCGGGAGCATCTGGTAGAGTCCTGGGTCAGTGGCAATGCTCTGAAGCGCTTCCTGCAGAACGGGGGAGAGGAGGGGAGGGGGGGGTCTAAGCGGGAGACCCCATGCTCCCCAAGCAGGGGGTGTGGCCACTGGGAGGGGGTGTGGCTAGGCAGAGAGAGGGAAGGCGCCCTCTGTAGGCCCAAGGGTGCCACTCAACCCCTGCCCACAAGTCCACCAAGAGAGGTCACGAGGCCAAAACAGACCCCGGCCATTATGGGGAGGGGGGGGTGGTCTCACCGCTCTCTTGGCCTCGCAGGACCCCACGCAGGCCTCGGTGATCTCCTTGTAGTAGAGCTGCTGCTCCACCGAGAGCTCGTGGATGCTGCGCGGCTTCAGCTTGAGGGGCGCTCCCTCCAAGAGTGGGGATTTCTTCTCCTTACCTGGAAAGAGGCCCAGAATAAGGGGGGGGGGGGGGCACTATGGCTTTCCAACCAGCTGTTAGGAATTGGTGTTCCTTCATGCAGGAATAGCACAATCAAAGCACCCCTGACAGATGGCCATCCAACCTCAATAATAATAATAATAATAATAATAATAATAATAATAATAATAGAGTTGGAAGGGACCTCTAAAGGCCATCTAGTCCAACTCCCTTAGAAAAAAGCACAATCAAAGCCCCCCTTTGCTGTAGGCTTGGCCTCATGTAAGCCGCACCGAGTCCCTTGGGGAGATGGTAGCGGGGTACAAATAAAGTATTATTATTATTATTATTATTATTATTATTATTATATTGTATTGTTATTACTAGCATTATATCGTATTACATTATAATATTATAAATATTATATGAATATACTATATTATATTATTAGTCAAGACAAAATGGAAATGTCTTCTGCTCCCCTCTGTCTTCACTCTGGCCTTACTTGTACCCGACCCTCTCACTCCCGGAGGGGAACTAGTTGGGGAACTAGTGATGTACTCTGCAAGGGGCAAGAAGCACGGCCTGCTTTCTTGCACCTACATAGAAGTTGAGAAATCTACCTTTTATTTATTTGTTGAGATTTAGAACAATGGAGGGGCAAAGGTCAAAACCCATTCTGCTAAGGACGTAGTGACCACACCAGGCGTGAAAGGGTTAGGACAAAGGAGTGGACATGCCCGGAGTGAGAGGCTGGGCTTTCCAGGGATCCATAGGTTGCCTTATGGAGAATGAGACTGAGAAGCAGGGCATAAATATCCTAGACGCCATGATTTACTCCTCTTTTGCATCTTGGAAATGTAAACAAAGCAAAATAGCCGCTCTGAGTGAGCACAAATGGGGCTGATGAGTTATTACAAGGGGAAGCATGTCAGCATATATATGTGTGTGTGTATGTGTGTGTATATATATGTGTGTGTGTGTGTGTGAATGAGCTGTCCCTTGCCACGCATTGCTGTGGCCCAGTCTGTGTATATGTGTTTTGTGTGTATATATTTGTATGTGTGTTTGCGTCTATATATGTGGTTTTGCACATACATTGAAATGTATTTTTTTTTATTTTTTTGGCTTTTTAAGCCCCTTCCACTGTGTTTTTAGTGTTTTTATGAGTGATGGTCACTTGTTGCCCTGTTTCGTGTCTTGTGTCCAAATTTGGTGTCAATTCGTCCAGTGGTTTTTAAATAAAGAAAATAATTCTGAGCCTTGATACTCAGAAATGAAAACATGTTTTGTCAAGACATATTTCAAACATAGTTTTATCAGCAAAACCACAAATGTGACATCAACCAGACACATGCAGCAAGTACTTTCTGGCAACTGCTCTTTATTTTTAGTTATGTTAATCCCACAAACGAACATTACATTTTTATTTATATAGACTAGCTGCCCCCTGCCACACGTTGCTGTGGCCCAGTCTGTGTATATGTGTTTTGTGTGTATATATATTTGTGTATATGTGTATATATGTGGTTCTGCACACACGTTGTAATGTATTTTTGTAATGTATTTTTTGTTTTTTGGCTTTTTAAGTCCCTTTCGCTGTGTTTTTATGAGTGATGGTCACTTGTTGGCCTAAGAGGTATCTTGTGTCCAAATTTGTGTCAATTTTGTACAATGGTTTTTGAGTTCTGTTAAGCCCACAAACAAATATTACATTTTTATTTATTTATGCACACGCACACGTGTGTGCCTGGCAACCGCTGTTCTGTGGGTTGCAGAAAAGGCAATCGAGAGAAGACTGATGGATGCCTCCCTTCCCAATACAATTTTCAAACTTTACATTATTCTCTATCTTTTTTGGATTATATCTTTGATACACTACACAAAGCTACCTGTGCCTATGTGATGCTTTTGCACATGCTTTCGTGAGAAAACCGTTTTTGATTATACCAACCAGTTGATGGAGATTTTTTCTTTATTTGACGTACTGAATTCATTTTGTCTCTGTGCATGCTTTGATAAAAGGGGGTGCTGAAATCAGTTATTTTGATAATCTTAACTCTGTTTTTAAATGCAAGCTTTCCTCATCTCATAGTAAAAGTAAAGGTTTTCCCCTTGCCATTAAGTCCGACTCTGGTGCTCTTCTCCATTTCTAAGCCAAAGAGCCAGCGTTGTCCGTAGACGCCTCCAAGGTCATATAGCCACTGGCATGACAGCATGGAGCGCCATTACCTTCTGGTCAAAGGACATTTAACCAAATACCAAACTCACAAGTTTTGTATTTTTCTGTTTGTTTGCTTTGTTCTGTTAGAAATGTAATATAATGGACTGGTTGCTCTGACACGACAAATAAATACCTTCTTGTCAAGGTGGTACCTATTCATCTATTCACATTTCGATGTTTTCGAACTGCTAGGTTGGTGGAAGCTGGGGCTAACAACAGGAGCTCATCCCGCTCCCCGGAGATCTTTCCCTTGTTTAGCATAAACATCCAATAATAATAATAATAATAATAATAATGTCACAGCATCCCTCTATCACCCACAACACTCTCACCCTTCCCCCCCCTTGCATGACCCTTGCCTGACCTTTGCCCTCTCCGGGTGTGGCACTCTGCCCTTTGCCCTTGAGGGCGCCGTCCTCCTCCTCCTGCCCCGGTTTAGTGGCCTTCAGGGGCTCCGTGGCCTCCGCCTTCTGCTGCTCCTTGGGGGCTGAAAGGGAGGAAACAGGGGGAGTTAAGGGGACTCTGTGAATGGGGGAGCGTCCTGGATAAATACGAGGTATGGTTTGAATGGGATTGTATGAAAGGTGTATGGCTGGCATCTACAAAACCTTTTCTTTTTTAAAGTAATTTTTATTGGTTTTAAAAAAGGTAATAACATATCATACGATTACATATACAAACATATCAACAGAACCCGATACAGACAGTCAACAATCAGGGGATAAAAAGGTAGGGAGTGGGGAAGGGGGAGGGGGTTAAAGGAAAGGGGGGGGCGGAGATGGGGGTAGGAGAGGTATGGGGCAGGGGTTGGGATTACGCTACACACAGACATAAAACCTCTGTCCATCCCCATCACGTAGGGGAGGAGGGCGACGACTTCCATTTAGCTTCCGACCAGAGTTACTCCATACAGTTCGTCGGATGTTCACTAAGAACTCCTGGCGTGTTTTGCACCTTACAATTCACATCAAACTGATTATCCGTGTCTCTATCAGCCCACCAGGACCCTAAGATCTTCTGGAGAGTCCCTGCTCTCTATCCCACCGGCTTCCCAAGTGCGGCTGGTGGGAACGAGAGACAGGGCCTTTTCTGTGGTGGCCCCTCGGCTTTGGAACACCCTCCCTATAGAGATACGATCAGCCTCTTCGCTGATGGTGTTTCGGAAGAGATTAAAAACATGGTTGTGTAAACAAGCATTCGGTTAGTTTGTTATCACCGAATTTTATGGACTAAGGACTGGTTAATTATGGATGACGAATTCTGGACTGTGATTTTAGTGACGAGATACATGGTATTATTATTGGTGGCCCAATAATTTGTATTGTCTATGTGTTGTTGTTTTAAATTGTATATTGTTTTTAATGTTGTAAACCGCAATGAGTCGCCGACTTAGGCTGAGATATTAGCGGTATACAAGTGTATTAAATAAATAAAATAAAAATTATCCGCGTCTCTTCTAAAATACTCGGGACCCTTTAGGATTCATACTTCTTTGCTTCGTATTCGTCGAAATTAGCCCAGTCCGTCTGTTTGATCGGCTTTCCAGAGCTGTATTTTAGCAGAAAAGTCAGCTTGTCCATGTCTCTTAATTCCACAGTTTTAACCAACCATTCTTCCACTGTAGGTACCTGATCATCTTTCCAGTGCCGTGCGAGCACGATTCGTGCTGCGGACGATAGATACATCCAAAGAATGTCTTCGTTCGGACTAAGGTCAAAATCTTCGTCCGTCAGCCCTAGTAGGAAGTACTCAGGTTTTCTTGGAAATTTGGTCTTTAGTATTTTTTGTGCCTCTTCCTGTACACCCCGCCAGAACTTTTTCACCTCTGGACAGGACCACCATGTGTGGAAATAAGTGCCTGGCTGCTCTTTGCACTTCCAGCATGTGTTCTTAACATTCTTGTACATTTGGGACAGCTTATGAGGTGTTAAATACCATCTATGGAATGTTTTTAACCAATTCTCTTTTAGCGCCGTAGAGTAGGAGTACTTTAGCTTTTTCCTCCAGATTAGTTGCCATTCTTGGAGTCTTATTGGGCGTCCTATGTTTTTGGCCCATTGGGTCATACAGTTTTTAATTTCCTCTGTTTCGGTTTCCCATTTTAATATTTGATTGTGGAGTTTAGTGATGGACTTCTTTTCCGTTTTTAGCACCACATCCCAGAGTGACTCTTTTTCTTCAAAACCCATCATTGCGTCTTGCTTGAAAGATTCTTGAAGCTGGAAATATTGTAACCATGTGAGGTTTTTAAATTTTTGGGATATCTCGTTCTGAGATTTCAGCTGCCATGTTTTGTTGTCATTGTTTTTGGTCAGAATGTCCTTGTAGGTTGGCCAGTGTTGCCAGCCTAGAAGGCGCCTTTGTTTCGCCTCTAATGGGGAGAGCCAATGGGGGGGTTTTGCATAGAAGTATTTCCTGTATTTATTCCAGGTTTTAAGCAGACTAGATCGAACAAAATGATTACCAAAATTCCTCTCCAGCTTGGACCTGCCGTACCACAGGTACGCATGGGCTGGCATCTACAAAACCTAAAGGTACCATCCTAAGAAACAAGGCCTGGAAAACTACTGAATTCATGAACTGTAATTAAATGTTGCTGAACTGCTGACATTGATGGCCAGAGACAAATGATTGTGGTGGAAAACAACATATTTACATTACCAAAAACAACAACTCCTTTAGCTAAGGAACACAGTGGCTCCTTACCTTTAAGAATAAAAAGCAACTTCCTGCCATCGTAAGAAATGAGGCCTGGAAAACTACTGAATTCATGAACTGTAATTATATGTTGCTAAACTGCTGACATTGATGGCCAAAGACGAATGATTAACTCTGTGGTGCAAAACAACATGTTTACATTACCAAAGACAATGGCTCTTTTAAGTTAAGGACGTCAACACAGTGGCTCCTTATGTTTCAGAATAAAAAGCAACTGAACTGCTAAACTGTAATTAAAAGTTGCTGCTGAACTGCTGGTGACCAGAGACAAATGATTAACTCTGTGGTGGAAAACAACATGTTTACATTACCAGAGAAAATCGCTCTTTTAAGTGAAGGAAGTCAACACAGTGGCTCCTTACGTTTCAGAATAAAAACCAACATTGCTCAAGGAAGTCAAACAAGGCTTTGTAAGAAGGAAAACCAATTATCAGCTAAGGAAGGAAAGTCAACATCTGTCCAGGAACCGATGGAGTCAGGATGTTTTAGCTGCCTGTCAATCATTTACAACTTTCAGAACAACATCAGAAAGAAATATGGCGATATAAGAGACACTTTACTATTCCAAAAACTGTGGCACACAGGAAGGGTCTGGTCATTCATCATCTTCTCCAAGAGATGGAGGAAGACGGTGTATTCGCAGAGTGGCTGATTTGCTGGGAACGCAATTTGGCCTACGCTTCGTTCTCTTTTCCAGGATGTGTGTGTGATGATGAGTGAATGTGAGTAAAATGGAATGTCCCCTTTGTTTGTGTACCCAATGTAGTAGCTACTACCCTCTGGGTAAGAAAAGCGGAATATAAACGCTGTAAATAATAGAATCTGTGTTTGTTTACTTTCTTTCTCTGTATGGCTCTGTGGTATACTCTCTCTCAATGTGAACAAGATAAAATAACATTTTCTAATGCTTCAGAAGTGTTTATGAATGGAGGGGGACCCCCCCCCCCCCCCGCCCCGCCAGATCCAGGCCTGGCCACTCACTCACTCACCTGGAGGCGGGTTTTCGGGGATGGCCGGCTGGACGCCCTCGATGCTCAGCCAGTGCGCTGCAAGGGAGAGAAGGCACCTCAGGGGAGTGTCCTGCGCAAGGCTGTGGTCCTCGTCGAGGGCACCACACACCCCTCCCCACTTCCAAGGCCTGACCTTTGAGGCAGACGTCCAGCGGGACGCGGGGCAGCGGCGTGTTGATGATGTCACTCAGGTCCACCTCCTTCTCCTCGTAGAAGTACAGCTCACGCCCGCCACCGCTGGCAAAGCGGAAGGGGATGAACTCCTGTGCGCAGAAGCCGTACAAGGGCTGCAAGGGGAAGGGGGGAGCGAGAAGGGGGGAGTCAAGGAAAAGGCACGCCCCCTCCAGGCCACACATCAAGGAAGCCTCCTCCTTGGGCCCCTCCCATTCCCTCGAGGAAGCTCTGCCCCTTGTCTAGACTCCGCCCCTCTTTCTCTCAGGCCTGGGGACCCCAAGGAAGCCCCTCCCCTTCGACAGGCCCTGCCCCTCCCTCAAGGAAGCCCCGCCCCTCCCTGTGTGGGGGGGGAGAAGGGGAGGGGCATGGCAAGGCCTGAGGAAGTCCTGCCACTCACTCAAGGAAGCCCCGCCTCCTAATCAAATGAGCCCTCCCCAGGCCCCTCCCACTCTCAAGGAAGTGCCCCCTCAGCCTCTCTCCCTTGACTTTGGGAGGGGGGAGAGGAGGGGGTGTCAGGGCAAAGCCCAAGGAAGTCCCCAGGCCCCGCCCCTCCCTCAAGGAAACCCTTCTCCAGGCCCCTCCCCTCTCCAATAAAGCTATGCCCCCCCCCAAGCACCTAATCAAGGAGTCCCTTCCCTAGAAGCCCCCCCTCTCTCCCTCAAGGAAACCCCGCCTCTTCTCTAGGCTCCTCCCCTTTCACACAAGGAAGCTGCTCTTTTTTCTAGCCCCGCCCCTCTCTCAATGAAGCCCCACCCCCAGGCCCCTAATGGAGGAAGCCTTTCCCTAGGCCCCTCCCTGTTAGAAGGAAGCCCCGCCTCTTAATAAAGCTCCGCCCCTCCCTAAGCCTCCAATTGAGGGAGCCCTTCCCTAGGCCCGCCCCCTCTCACAAGGAAGCCCCCCCAAACCCGCCCTTGCCCTCCATGAAGCCCCACCCTCTTCCTCCCTGGGACTATTCTCTCAGTGAAGCCCCGCCCCCTCCCAGCCCCCAATTGAGGGAGCCCTTCCCTAGGCCCACCCCTCACTCACAAGGAAGCCCCGCCCCCTCCCGGCCTCTAACCGAGGAGGCTCTTTCCTAAGCCCCGCCCCCTCCCTGGGACTGGCCTCTCAGTGAAGCCCCGCCCCTCCCTGAGCACCGCCGCCTCCAGGCTCAGAATCAAGAGAGCCCTTCCCTAGGCCCCTCCCTGTCTCAGGAGGAGGAAGCCCCCCCCCCCCCCCCCCGGGGACTGACCTCGACGTTCTTGAGCTTGAAGGCGCAGTCGAGGTCGGCGGTGGCCAGGCTGCGCCGCTTCCCCATCCGCATGAACTTGAGCGCCTCCTGCAGGGGAGACGGGGGGAGGGGGGCGGAAAGGGGGTCTCCTTAGTTAGTTATTTACGACATTTCCATGCCGCCCTTCTCACCCCGAAGGGGACTCAGAGCGGTTTACAAGATTCATAGACATACAATATATTATGTTATTAGCATAGTACAATATGTGTATTAAATATTACTATATTGTACTATACCATTGTATTGTAATAATAGCCGTCCCCTGCCACACGTTGCTGTGGCCCAGTCTGTATATATGTGTTTTGTGTGTGTATATATGTGTGTGTGGATATATATTTGTGTATATGTGTATATATGTTTGCATATGTGTGGTTTTGTGCATGCATCTTTTTCAGCCCCTTCCGCTGTGTTTTTCAGTGTTTTTATGAATGATGGTCACTTGTTTGCCTGAGAGGTGCGTTGTGTCCAAATTTGGTGTCCATTTGTCCAGTAGTTTTTGATTTATGTTAATACCACAAATGTAGATTACGTTTTTATTTATATAATTCCTAGCCATCCCCTGACACACATTGCTGTGGCCCAGTCTGTGTATATATGTATATATGTGGTTTTGTGCATGCGTTGTAATGTTTTTTTTTTTAAAATGGCTTTTAAAATCCCTTCCGCTGTGTTTTTCAGTGTTTTTGAGTGATGGTCACTCGTTGGCCTGAGAGGTGTCTTGTGTCCAAATTTGGTATCAATTTGCTGTGGCCAACCTTCCCTCCCTCTTTTTCTCCTCCTTTCCTTCCTTCCTTCTCTCCTCTTCCCTTCCTTCCCCCTCTTTCCTTTTTCTTCCCCTTTCTCTCATGTCTCCCTTCTCTACCTATTCTTGGACTGCAACCCCCAGCAGTCCTCCTGATCAATCTACCTACCTACCTAATCTATCTTATCTTGCTGAGAGTTGCTGTCCAGGAATAGGAAATTGGAAATATGAAGGGATTGGGGTGCTCTCGAAGAAATCCAAGGAGAAGAAAGCTTGGAAGCAGTGCATTTGGGGCATCCTCCTCCCCTCAAGGGCCTGGTCTAGGGGATGCTGGGAGCTCTTGTTTTTGCACATGTGCTGTATTGTCGTTTAGCTTTTGGGAGGCGTTTATGAGCGATGGTCACTCAATGGCCTGATAGGTGCCTTGTGTCCAAATTTATTTACTTACTTCATTTATATACCGCTTTTCTCAGCCCTCAGGCGACTCAAAGCGGTTAACAACAGCAAAATTCAATGCAAAAACATCCCAAAACGAACATGGGACAGTTAAAAACAGTAGCATCATCAACGCTTAAACATCAATATAACAATCATTAGCGTCTCATCAGTAAAATCAGAATCCAATCTCATCATCTGTTATTCCGTATTCCTATATTCAATTACACTGCTTAATTGAATGCTTGTTCGAACAGCCATTTGTCCGTTTGGTGTCCATTCGTCCAGTGGTTTTTTATTTATGTTAATCCCACAAATGCACATTACATTTTTATTTATATGGATTATTAGTAATAGTACATGTAATATAAATATATAATCAATAATAATTCTGTTAGTAGCATAGCCTAGGTGGAGTCCCAGAGTCCCCCCCCTTCCCTGTAGCCCAGAGTGTCCTTGTGTCTGTGTGTGGGGAGGGGTCCCTTCCCCTTCCCCCCCTCCCCCCCCCTCGCCCCCCCCCCCCTTATTCTGACCTGGGCCACCTGCTTGAGGCGGTAGCTGACCTCCTCGGCCAGGAGCTGGCAGCTTTCCTCGGGCAGCGCCGCCAGGCCCACCGCCTCCGCCATCGCCTTCACCGACTCCGGGGGGACCTGCCCCGCCACACCCCCGCCCCCGCCTCCCCCGACCCCCTTCCCCGCACGCTTCTCCTCCGCCATCGCCCCCTCCCTCACTCCCCGCCCGGAGGAGGGCGGACTCCTAGAGCGGGCGCTCCCGCCGCCGCCGCAAGACCCGCCAATGGCTTCCCCCACACACACTGCGCAGGCGCAGCGCCACCGAGACGAAGGGAGATTCCTAGAGCGGGCGCCACCTCAAGACCCACCAATGGCTTCCCCCCTTCCACTGCGCAGGAAGTGAAGGGGGACTCCTAGAGCGGGCAGTCTCGGCGCAAGTTCCGCCAATGGCTTCACCCCCACTGCGCAGGCGCGGCGCCACCGAGACGAGGGGAGATTGCTAGAGCGGACGCCCCCGCCGCATTAAGTCCCGCCAGTGGCTTCCCCACCACCACTGCGCAGGCGTGGCGCTACCGAGACGAGGACGGACTCCTAGAGCGGGGCGCTCTCTCCCCAGGCCCCGCCCATGCACTTCCGGCTCCACTGCGCCTGGCCAAAAGGGCTGGTCGCGCCTGAAGCTTGACTCGAGTTGATCGTGGCCACCGAGAGGAGGGGAGATTCCTAGAGCGGGCACTCCCGCCTCAAGACCGGCCGACGGCTTCCCTCCCCCACACACACACTGCGCAGGCGCGGCGCCACCGAGACGCACACGGACTCCTAGAGCGGGGCGCTTTCTCCCCAGGCCCCGCCCATGCACTTCCGGCTCCACTGCGCCTGCCCAAAAGAACTGGTCGCTCCTGAGGCTTGGCTCTAGTTGATCGTGGCAACCGAGAGGAGGAGAGATTCCTAGAGCGGGCGCTCCCTCAGCCTCAAGACCCGCCAATGGTTCCCCCCTCCCATTACGCAGGCGCGGCGCCACCGAGACGCACACGGAGTCCTAGAGCGGGGCGCTCTCTCCCCAGGCCCCGCCCATGCTCTTCCGGCTCCACTGCGCCTGCCCAAAAGAACTGGTCGCTCCTGAGGCTTGGCTCTAGTTGATCGTGGCAACCGAGAGGAGGAGAGATTCCTAGAGCGGGCGCTCCCTCAGCCTCAAGACCCGCCAATGGTTCCCCCCTCCCATTACGCAGGCGCGGCGCCACCGAGATGCACACGGAGTCCTAGAGCGGGGCGCTCTCTCCCCAGGCCCCGCCCATGCTCTTCCGGCTCCACTGCGCCTGCCCAAAAGGGCTGGTCGCTCCTGAAGCTTGACACGAGTCAAAGGAAGGGAACATCCGGCCACGACCCGGGTCAGAAGGGCTCCCCACGGGCCCGCCTGCCCGCCCGCCCGCCCTCCCGGTGTCTTCGGCTCCAGCTCCCACCATTCCTCACGGCCGGTATCATTATCATTATTATTATCATTATTATTATTATTATTATTACATTTCTTTATATATATTATTAATATTAGTAATTTATTATTTTGATATTATTTCAGTATTTAATACTATTTTATTGTTTTGTCATTTTTATAATAATATTGTTATATAATTTGCATAATATTACCTTATTAGTTAATTTATGATTGCATTATTATTTTATGGTTTTATAGCAATATTGTATTTGTTACATTATTTTCATAACATATTATTTATTAATATATTATTTTTGTATTGTATTTATCATTATATTGTTTTATAATGGTATTGTTTTTATTATTATATTATTTTCATAATATGTATTATTTGTTAATATTTTATGCTTTTATGATTTTATTACTGTTTCATAATATTATTATATTTATTATATTATATTCATAATATAATGTTTATTAATATATTATTATATTATTATTGTATTGCATTATACTATAATATGTTATTATATTATTTTCATAATATAACATTTATTAATATATTATTATATTATTATTGTATTACATTATAATATAATAGGTTGTTATTATTATATTATTTTCATAATATTGTATTGCTTGTTAATATTTTATGGTTTTGATGTTTTATTATTTGATAATATTGTTATATTTATTATTGTATTATTTTCATAATATAATGTTTATTAATATTTTATTCTATTATTATTTTTTACATTATAATATAATATGTTATTATACCATTTTCATAATATTGTATTATTTGTTAATGTTTTATCGTTTTTTGTTTTATTGTTGTTTGATAATATTATTATATTTATTATTATATCATTTTCATAATATAAAATTTATTAATATATTATTATATTATTGTATTACGTTATACTATAATATGTTATTATTATATTATTTTCATAATATTGTATTATTTGTTAATGTTTTATCGTTTTTTGTTTTATTATTGTTTGATAATATTATTATATTTATTATTATATTATTTTCATAATATAATGTTTATTAATACATTATATTATTATTGTATTACATTATACTATAATATGTTATTTTATCATTATCATTATCATTATTATTATTATTATTATTATTGGCTGTTAGGAGTTGAAGTCCAAAACACCTGGAATGAGTGAGGTAGGGAAGGAAGACCTATAAATCTATAATAATAAGAATAATAATCCTTTATTTATACCCTGCTACCATCTCCCGCAGGACTCGGTGCGGCTTACAAGAGGCCGAGCCCAAATACATCAGTAAAAAGCAACAACAACAATACAACAATAAATAACTCACCTACACCGTAGTCTCTCTCCTCTCTCCCCCAGGAAGAAGCCCCTCCGCTCCCGAGGAGGATAATGTCGTCGTCGTCGTCATCGGCCGTCCCTTTGGTGATGCGGGGCTCCCCGTACTCGGTGGTGGTGCTGCAGGAGGGCTTCTCGGAGGCCTTGCCGGACGGCGGGATGCGGGCGGAGGGGACGGTGGGGCTGGTGCTGGGCCCGCAGCCGACCCTGGTGGACACGGGGGGGCCCTGGGGCCGGGAGCGGCTGCTGGCGAACCTAGCCGCGCAGGGGGTCTCCCCGGGGGAGGTGCGGCACCTGGTCTGCACCCACGGCCACTCCGACCACGCCGGGAACCTCAACCTCTTCCCCTCGGCGCAGCTGGTGATGGGGACGGACGTCTCCCTCCCGGGGGGCCGCTACCTGCCCACGGGGCTGCGCCAGGGCCAGCCCTACGTCCTGCACGAGGGGCACCTGGAGGTGCTGCCCACCCCGGGACACACCGCCGCCGACGTCAGCCTCCTGGTGCGCGGCACGGAGTTGGGGGACGTCCTGCTGGCCGGGGACCTCTTCGAGCGGGAGGGGGACGAGGGCGTCTGGGAAGAACTCAGCGAAGACCCCCCCAGGCAGGCACAGAGCCGGGCACGGGCCTTAGAGCTGGCCGACGTCATCGTGCCCGGGCACGGGGGCCCCTTCCGGGTCGACAGGAGGAAGAGGAGCCAGCAGTGACCTTCCCTGACCTTTCTCCTCTTGGGTCTTGCTGCCCTTCCGGGTCAGCAGGTGGGGAGGCCATAGAAGGCAAGCAGCAGGAGTGACCATCAGTGGCCCACCTTGGGGTCTCCATGAAGAGAACGATGCTCCAGCCAGCAGTGACCTTCAGTGACCTGCCTCCAGTTGGGTCTTGCTGCCCTTACGGGTCAACAGGTGGGTCAGCAGGTGTGGGGGGGCTAGAAGGCGAGCAGCAGGAGTGACCAGCAGTGGCCCAATTTGGGGTCTCCATGACTTGGGGTCTCCAGCAGTGACCTTCCATGACTCACATCCAATTGGGTCTTGCGGGCCAAGAGGTGGATGACCCCTGGAGCAGCAGCAGGAGGAGGAGTGACCAGCAGTGACCGACCTTCTGTTCTCTAGGGAGAGAGTCACGCTCCAGACCAGCAAGACCATTGAAGCAAGCGCCTCAATGACAAAGAGCAGAGCAGAGAGCAGGGCTCTTCTGGGGAGAGTTTTTTGGGGAGGGGTCTCTGGCAGGTCCTCAGCAAAGAGGGGCAACCGGAAAAGGAGTGTCCAGCCCTGACCTTCCTTGACCCACCTCCAATTGGAACAAAAGGAAGTAAATAATCCAGAAGGGACCTTTCCCCTGATGGCACGTGAGCCTGTCAGGGACACAATAAAATAACTAAAAGTGGGCTGCTGTGAGTTTTTTGGCCGATATGTCCCAGTAGCATTCTCTCCTGACGTTTCACCTGTGGCACCTGTGGCAGGCATCCTCAGAGGTTTGTTCAGAGGTCTTTTGGAAATGAGGCCAGTGGAGTGTAGCTGTATCTATCTATTTACTCATCTACCTGTGGAATGAAGTCCCAGATGAGAGAAAGAACCCTTGTCTGTCTGAAGCGAGTGTGAGTGTTGCAACGAGCAAGCTTGAATAGCACTGAGTAGCCATGAAGCTGCAAAGCCAGTCAGTGTTGTTGCCTGGAGGCACCCTCTGTTTAGGAGGTGTTCACTGGCACCGGTTTGTTTGCTATCTAGAATCCCACTAAACTAAAAGTGTGTCTCAGGTGGTTGCTGAGGAAAAGAAGGGAGGACTCGAGTCGAATATTCCTTTCCTCTCTGGGAAGAGGAACCCTTTGGGTCAGCAGGAGGAGGGGTCCCGGACCCAGCAATGACCTTTCCTGACCCATCTCGAGATCTCTGTGAGGAGAGACCCTCCAGGCCAGCAACGCCATTAAAGCCTCAATGAAAAAGAATGGAGCAAGGGCAGGAAGGGTCTTTTGGGGGAAGGAAGGAAGGAAGGAAGGAAGGAAGGAAGGAAGGAAGGAAGGGGCAGCGTCAATGGGAGGGAGGGAGGGTCTTCCATGGGGAAGCAATAGCTGACCACTGGGGGGCTGTGGCTGCAACAAAGGGTGGAAGAGAACTCAGTCCAGGCTATCCCCAAGTTACAAACAAGAGAGGCCCTGGAGGTTTGTTCTTGAGTTGAATTTGTATGTAAGTTGGGACAGGGACATTTTGTAAGTGTAACTCAAGCAGTGTGTGTGTGTGTCTGTCTATGTCTACACCAGGGGAGGAAGAGATGGGGTCTACATTCACAGAATCAAAGAGTTGGAAGAGACCTCCTGGGCCATCATCCAGTCCAACCCCATTCTGCCAAGAAGCAGGAATATTGCATTCAAATCACCCCTGACAGATGGCCATCCAGCCTCTGTTTAAAACCCTCCAAAGAAGGAGCCTCCACCACACTCCGGGGCAGAGAGTTCCACTGCTGAACGGCTCTCACAGTCAGGAAGTTCTTCCTCATGTTCAGGTGGAATCTCCTTCCTTGTTGTTTGAAGCCATGGCTCCCTTGCATCCCTAGTCTCCAGGGAAGCAGAAAGGAAGCTCTCTCCCTCCTCCCTGTGGCTTCCTCTCACACATTTATACATGGCTCTTATCATGTCTCCTCTCAGCCTTCTCTTCTTCAGGCTAAACATGCCCAGCTCCTTAAGCCGCTCCTCATAGGGCTTGTTCTCCAGACCCTTGATCCTTTGAGTCGCTCTCCTCTGGACACATTCCAGCTTGTCAACATCTCTCTTGAATTGTGGTGCCCAGAATTGGACACAATATTCCAGGTAAAGTGGTCTAACCAAAGTGGAATAGAGCATGGGGAGCATGACTTCCCTAGATCTAGACACTAGGCTACTATTGATGCAGGCCAAACATTGTTAATTGCAGCAATAATATGTTTCATACTTATGTCAATATTTGATGTTTTTATAGTTTTTAAGGGTTTTTATCTGCAGTTATATGTTATTGCAGCGGTTCTCAACCTGGGGGTCACGGCCCCCAGGGGGGTCGCCTGGCCATTTCGGAGGGGTCGCGAGACCGCTTCCGTTGGCCCTGCCTCAGGGGCGTGGGTCAGGCGAGGGCTCCTTCGCGTGAGGCTTATCTTGCCTGCCACACACACTCACCATCCAGCAAGGGCGCGAGGCAGGCAAGTGGTCAGAGCTGAATTGGTCAAAGGCACTGCAAATACGATCATCTGTTGTCTGTACTCCCCCAAACATATTGTTTTTGTGATTAATCATTATGCATTAATTATGTTCAATTTATGACAATGAACTTCATGACATCCTGCATATCGAATATTTACGTGACAATTCATAGCAGTAGCAAAATTACAGTTATGAAATAGCAACAAAAATAATTTTATGGTCGGGGGTCACCACAACATTAGGGGTCATTGCATTAGAAAGGTTGAGAACCACTGTGTTATTGATTTAGATATGTGATATTTTTATATATATATGAGGCACTGAATTTACCATTTATTATGTTGTAAACCGCTTTGAGTCCCCCCAGGGGTGAGAAAAGCGGTATACAAATGCAGTAAACAAACAAACAAATAAGGCCCAGGGGCCGGATGCGGCCCTCCAAGGTCATTTACCCAGCCCTCGCTCAGGGTCAACCTAAGTCTGAAACGACTCGAAAGCACACAACAATAACAACAACAACAACAACCCTATCTCATCAGCCAAAACCAGGCCCACACTTCCCATTGAAATACTAATAAGTTTCTATTTGCTAAAACTGTTCTTCATTTTACTTATTGTATTGCTTTTAAGTGTTTTTGCACTACAAATAGGATGTGTGCAATGTGCATTGGAATTCATTCATGTTTTGTTTTGGTTTTTCCAATTATGATCCGGCCCTCCAACAGTTTGAGGGACTGTCCCCTGGCCCTCTGTTTGATGGCCTGGCAGTGTTTCGCCTCACTTTCTGTCCCTGCGAGGATTGGATTCCCACAAACGTGGATTTCCCTTCCTCGTTAGGGGAAGGGTCACTTACTTATTATTATTTCGCGTATTCCTACCCCGCCCTTCTCAACCCCCGAGGGGGGACTCAGGGCGGCTTACAAAAGGCACAATTTGATGCCAGCATAAACAATAACATAAAAACATGTATAACAACAATGATAACAATAACAATTTTTGCCACTTCCTCTGGCCTCAGCTACGTTCTTAACTCTGAGTCATTTGTAAGGTGGATGTTTGTAACTCAGGGAGAGCCTCTCTTGTTAGCGGAAGTTTTGCACAGGCTTAGAAGAAAAACATGGACTCTGGAGACGTCTGGTTACAAAGCAGGTTCAATGTAGTTAGAGCAATTCCAAAACACATCCATTACAGTAAGCGAGCAGGCATGAAGTACACAAAACGCAGGACAAAGGAAGTCAACGTGTAAACAACTCTGCAGCTGCTTGGCAGAGACCAGGCACTCCCTAATTTTCTCACCACTCCAGACAGAGAGTATCTCAGGGTTACTTTCTCACAGCCTCTAACATAAGCAGACATCACAGCAATACAATCTTATGGCATCCATATTTCTACTGCATGAAATGACATTTAAAGCGCATTACATTCTTCAACACATTACATTCTTTGTTCCTCTGGGACCGGAGACGGAGGGTGGAGTGGGGAGGCCAAAGCTCTGAGAGCTCCTGCCTTGGCTGTGGAGTGAGTTCCCCAAGGGGCTCTCCTCCTCTCGCCCCTGCTATTTCACATCTACGTCCGGCCACTTGCTGGACTGGTGTGGAGCTTTGGCCGAGAGTGCTCCCAGTATGTAGATGAGACCCAGCTACTCTTGCGTCTCGAACCTGGGACAACCACCGCGATTCCTGAGAACTTGAAGCTGTGTTTGGAAGCAGTGATGAGTTGGCTGCGAGCGAGCAGTCTCAAAGGGAATCCTGCTAAAAGTGAGATCCTCTGGCCCGGCCAGCCGCCAGAATTAACCCCATCTCTGCCTGATTTCGATGGGGAAGCTCTGGCTCTGTCTGCCCCTGTTCAAAGCCTTAAAGGGGTTGTGTTGGACTCATCGCTGACGATGGAGGCCCAGATCACGGCCAGAAGGAAGCAGGCCTTTTCTCATCTTCGCCAGGCAAGGAAATTGGCATCTGACCTTTCGGTAGAAGCATTGGCAACGATAATCCACGCCACAGTCGCCACGAGGTTGGACTATTGCAACGCCTTAATATGCCTGCCTTCCAAAGTCAACAACCCAGAAGATTCGGATGGTCCAAAATGCGGCAGCCAGGCTGCTAGCGGGATCATCTCTAAGTTCCCATATGACACCGATTCTGCAACAACTGCATTGGCTCCCAAGAGAACATCGGATCTCTGACAAGATCCTGATCCTGACATTTAGGGCTCAAAATGGCCAAGGACCTTGATGTCTCAGGGACCGCCTCATTCCTCTTCTCCATCCGTGGTCACCTCGATCCACCCAGGAAAATCTCCTCTACATCCCGGGCCCGAGGGAGGGAGGGAGGGACACCTGGAAGCTACAAGGCGTAGTAGAGCTTTTCCCACCTATGCTCCAATTCTGTGGAACTCATGGCCTCCATACGTTAGAGCAGTGTTTCTCAACCTTCCTAATGCCGTGACCCCTTAATACAGTTCCTTGTGTTGTGTTGACCCCCAACCAGAACATTGTTTTCTTTGCTACTTCACAACTGTAATGTTGCTGCTGTTATGAATCATCTTGCAAATATCCGACATGCAGGATGTATTTTCATTCATTGGGAACAAATACTTGATACACCCAAATTTGAATACTGGTTGAGGGGAGGATTGATTTTGTCATTTGGGAGTTGTAGTTGCTGGGATGTATAGTTTACCGACAATATCAAAAGGCATTCTGAACTCCACCAAGGATGGACTTGAACCAAACTTGGGACACAGAGCTCCCATGACCAACAGTGAAGGGCTTGTTGGGCATTGACCTTGGGTTTTGGAGTTCACCTACATCCAGATGCATCTGGACCAAACTGGGCACGAATACTCAACATCCTCAAATGTGGACACTGGTGGGGTTTGGGGAAGATAGGCCTTGACATTTGGGAGTTGTAGTTGCTGGGATTTATAGTTCACCTATAATCAAAGAGCATGCTGTACTCCACCAATGACAGAATTAGGCTAAACTTCCCACACAAAACCCCCACGGCCATCAGAACATACTGTGTTTTCTAATTGTCTTTGGCGACCCACTCGTGACCCCCCCCCAGGGGTCCCGACCCCCCAGGTTGAGAAACATTGCATTAGAGAGCAATGTTGGAGTTGTGACCTTTTGTAAAAGCGCTCAAGACTTGGCTGTTGGGTTGTGCATTTAAGCAATCAGATCTAATTTGCCAAATAGTCACTGTTGAATGTTTTTATATTCACCGGGATTGTGGTGCAGCTGGCGGAGTGTGAGCTGCATTAAGATCTCTCTGACCAAAAAGGTCATGAGTTCGAAGCCAGCCCGGGTTGGAGTGGGTTTCCAACCAATTGTGTGTAGCCTGTTGTCGACCTTTGCAACCCGAAAGACAGTTGCATCTCTCAAGTAGGAAAATTAGGTACCACCTTAAAAAAGTGTGGGGAGGATAAATTAACTGATTTGTGGGGCCATAAAGAAGACTCCAGCAAAGCATTCCAGCGGGGAAGCATGCGGGGAATGTGGAAGTGCTTCATCAGCATCGCAGATGGACGAGGAAAGCGACAGCTCCCCTGGCGGCCAGAAAAAGTTAAATAACCTCTGTGTATGTCTGTATATGCTTGTATGTCAAAAACTGGCATGGAATGTTTGCCATATATATATGTACACTGTAATCCGCCCTGAGTCCCCTGCTATGGGGTGAGGAGAAAGGCGGAGTATAAAAGCTGTCAATAAATAAATATTGTGTAAACGCTATTTTAGATTGTAAGTCACTCGGAGCACCTTGGTGGAGAGCGACTAATTTAGAAGTGAAGTGAAGTGAACATAGACTGACATCTCTGCGTATGTAGATCTATATATGAGATATAGTATTCTAGATTTGGAAGGGACCCCTGAAGGCCATCCAGTCCAGCCCCGTTCTTAACTAGGAGTCGTTCTCAAGTGGGATGTTTGTGTATGGGGGAGGGGGCCTTGCTTGTGGCTGGTGAGTGACGCCCTGCCTGCCCCCCCCCCTTCCTTCCTCCCCAGCCTTTCACCCTTGGATCCTGCCTCACCTGAGGCCCAGGTGCCCTTGTTGTTATCCGTGGCAGCTTCCCTTGGCATCGTCCAAAGGTGGCATTTATGGCCCTTTATCTGCCCGGGCCTTTGGCATCACAGCCCCCCCCCCCCCGCCACCCCCAATGCCTTATATAAGCGCCCGATCCCTGCGAGGCCCATTCCTTGCTGCCGCCACTGACCGCCATGTGCACGGGGGCCTGTTCCAAGGTGGTGGGGGTGGCTCTGTGGCCCTTCATCCTGGTCTCCATCGTGTCCAACATCCTGCTGGCCTTCCCCGACTGGAAGCCCGACTACGTCCATGAGTTTGGCAAGCGCTTGACCCCTGAGGTCCTCTACCTGGGTGGCCTGGTCGGAGGGGGCCTCATGGTAAATATGGAGTGGGGGACAAGGACAAGGGGTTGGTCAGTGGGCTCCTAGGCTTCTGGTCAGCAGCCTCTGGCCCTTGGGTGGGGGGAGGGCTGGCTCTGAGGAAGACCTGGGCAAATGGGCCCTCCTTTCTCTCTTCAGGTCCTGATTCCGGCCGTCCACTTCCATGCCGCGGGAAGCCGGGGGTGCTGCGGGAACCGCTGTGGGGTGAGACACAAGGAAAAGGGGGCGGCGGAGGGGGGGGGCAAAGGGGGGGGGGGCTTCTGTTGCCAGGAAGAAGAAGTCAAGTATGAAAATATATCCAAGGTCAAAATCAAGTTGATTGCAGTTGCAGGGGGGGGGCCTTCTTTGGAGGCTTTGAAGCAGAGGCTGGATGTCCATCTGTCAGGGGTGCTTTGAATGTGGTTTTCCTGCTTCTTGGCAGAATGGGGTTGGACCAGGTCTCTTCCAGCTCAAGGATTCCATGAATCTCTGATTAGGAAGAACTTCTTAGATCAGTTCAGCAGTGGAACTCTCTGCCTTGGAGTCTGGTGGAGGCCCCTTCCTTGGAAGCTTTGAAGCAGAGGCTGGATGGCCATCTGTCAGGGGTGCTTTGAATGTGGTTTTCCTGCTTCTTGGCAGAATGGGGTTGGACTGGATGATGGCCCAGAAGGTCTCTCCCAACTCAAGGAATCCACAGATCTCTGATTTGGAAGAACTTGTTAGATCAGTTCAGCAGTGGAACTCTCTGCCTTGGAGTCTGGTCCTTGGGAGCTTTGAAGCAAAGGCTGGATGTCCATCTGTCAGGGGTGCTTTGAATGTGGTTTTCCTGCTTCTTGGCAGAATGCAGTTGGACTGGATGATGGCCCACCAGGTCTCTCCCAACTCAAGGATTCCACGAATCTCTGATTAGGAAGAACTTCTTAGATCAGTTCAGCAGTGGAACTCTCTGCCTTGGAGTCTGGCCCTTGGAGGCTTTGAAGCAGAGGCTGGATGTCCATCTTCTGGGGGTGCTTAGACTGTGCTTTTCCTGCCTGGGAGGGGGTTGGACTAGATGGCCCATGGGTTCTCTTCCAACTCTAGGGTTCTAGGATTACACTAGGGTGTCCCAGCAAAGCCCCCCAGGGATGAGGCTCATGCCATACCGATGGGTTTCCTTCTTGATGTTCTTCAAGAAGATGGTGTGGATGGAGAGATCTGTGTTGGAGGAATGGGCTGAGAGGAGGAGAAAGTAACTTTTGCACAGGGCCAAAGTGGGAGCCTGTGTTACTGAACGGCAACGCCAAAGCCTACCTGGGTTTGGAACACAACCTCTGCTGTTTGGAACGTGCGTGATGTTGAATCAGGTACCTCCAGGCTACCTGGATCACACCTGGGCCAACTTTGGCCCTCCTCCAGGTGTTTTGGACTCCAACTCCCACCATCCCAACAGCCGGAAGTATAGGTCTGTCTATACTAAGTATATTTGTACTTTAATATACTAATTTACTATTATAAAAATAATAGAATAATAAAAGTATAATAATACAATTATATTTTATTATTCTATTTTATATCAGTACATTAATATATTATTTTAATATTTGTTGTATTATATTAGTTTATAATATATTATTAATATTTCTATGATATATTATTAAAATTTTAATTATTATTATTAATTATATTTTATTCTATTTTTATATCAGTACATTAAAATATTATTTTAATATCTATTGTATTCTATTAGTTTATAATATATTATTAATATTTCTATGATATATTATTAAATTTTATTATTATTAATTATATTTTATTATTCTATTTTTATATCAGTACATTAATATATTATTTTAATATTTATTATATTATATTAATATTTCAATGATATTATTCTTAAATTACATCATTATTATTATTATTATTATTGTATTCTCGAAGGCTTTCATGGCTGGAATCACTGCGTTGTTGTAGGTTTTTTTGGGCTATATGGCTGTGTTCTAGAGGCATTCTCTCCTGACGTTTCGCCTACATCTATGCCAAGCATCCTCAGAGGTTGTGAGGTCTGTTGGAACTAGGAAAAAAGGGGGTTTCTATATCCGTGGTATAATGACCAGGGTGGGACAAAGGACTCTTGTCTGTTGGAGCTAGGTGGGCATTCTCTCCTGACGTTTCGCCTGCATCTATGGCAAGCATCCTCAGAGGTAGTGAGGTCTGTTGGAAGTAGGAAAAAGGGTTTATATATCTGTGGAATGATGACCAGGGTGGGACAATGGACTCTTGTCTGTTGGAGCGAGGTGTGAATGTCTGAACTGACCACCTTGATAAGCATATAATGGCCTGACAGTGCCTGGAGCAATCTTTTGCTGAGAGGTGATTAGATGTCCTTGTTAAAATTACAACAGCACAACAACAGAGAGGATACAATCAGAAACATCTAATCACCTCTCAACAAAAGTTTACTCTAGGCACTTTCAGGCCATCAAATGCTAATCAAGGTGGTCAGTTGAAACATTCACACCTAGCTCCAGCAGACAAGAGTCCTTTGTCTCACCCTGGTCATTCCACAGGTATATAAACCCATTTTCCTAGTTCCAACAGACCTCACTACCTCTGAGGATGCTTGCCATAGATGCAGGCGAAACGTCAGGAGGGAATGCCTCTAGAACATGGCCATACAGCCCGAAAAAACCTACAACAACCCAGTGATTCCAGCCATGAAAGCCTTCGTCAATACATATTCCCACCTAGCTCCAGCAGACAAGAGTCCTTTGTCCCACCATGGTCTTCCACAGATATATAAACCCATTTTCCTAGTTCCAACAGACCTCCCAACCTCTGAGGATGCTTGCCATAGATGCAGGCGAAACGTCAGGAGAGAATGCCTCTAGAACATGGCCATACAGCCCAAAAAAACCTACAACAACCCTATTATTATTATTATTATTATTATTATTATTATTATTATTATTATGATGATGACTGGAGCCCCTGATGGCGCGGCGGGTTAAACTGCTGAGCTGCTGAACTTGCTAACCGATAGGTCGTAGGTTCAAATCCAGGGAGCGGCATGAGCTCCCGCTGTTAACCCCAGCTTCTGCCAACCTAGCAGTTCGAAATATGCAAATGTGAGTAGAGCAGTAGGTACTGCTCTGATGGGAAGGTAAGGGCGCTCCATGCAGTCGTGCCACATGATCCTGGAGGTGTCTATGGACAACGCCGGCTTTTCGGCTTCAAAATGGAGATGAGCACCAGAGTCGGACTCGACTGGACTTAATGTCAGGGGAAAATGTTTACCTTTACCTATGACCGGCTGTTAGGAATGGTGGGAGTTGCAGTCCAAAACACCTGGAGGGAGGGCCGAAGTAGTGCCAGTCCCGGAGTCTAGCCGCTCCCTTCTGTTTCCAGATGTTCCTGTCGGTGATCCTGGCGGCGGTGGGGGTGCTGGGGGCCTCCTACTCGGTGGTGGTCTCCCTGCTGGGCCTGGTGCACGGGCCCCTCTGCCAGTACATGGTCAACGGGACACACCTGGACTGGGGGCGCCCCTTTGAGAACAGCGGGGACGGGCCCAGGTGAGTCCTGCGCAGGTGCCCTCTGGGGCCCAGGCCCACAACATAACCTTGGAGAGGAGAGCCAGGAACCCCTTCGAGTTGAATCTTCCCAATGTAATTGCACAAGGCAATTGGCCTCAGTTGTTAGACTGAATAACCTGTTGTTTTTGTTGCTACTTCATAGCAGTCATTTTCCTACTGTTATAAATCATAATGTAAATCTCTGATATGCAGGATGCATTTTCATTCACTGGACCAAACTGGGCACAAATTTATTTATTTATTTACTCTATTTGTATACCGCATATATCAGCCTGAGGCGGCGACAAATATCCAATACACCTAAATGTGAATGCTAGTGGGGATGGGGGAGGATTGATTTTGTCATTTGGGAGTTATAGTTGCTGGGATTTATAGTTCACCTATAATCAAAGAGCATTCTGAACTCCACCAGCGATGGATTTGAACCAAACTTGGCTCCCATGACCAACAGAACACACTGGAAGGGTTTGATGGGCACTGACCTTGAGTTTGGGAGTTGTAGTTCACCTATATCCAGAGAGCATTGTGGACTCATGCAATGGTGGATCTGGACCAAACTTGGCATGAATACTCAATATGCCCCAATGTGAACACTGGTGGAGTCTGGGGAAAATAGACCTTGACATTTGGGAGTTGTAGTTACTGGGCTTTATAGTTCACCTATAATCAAAGAGCATTCTGGACTCCACCAGCGATGGATTTAAACCGAAATTGGCACACAGAACTCCCATGACGATTAGAAAACACTGGAAGGGTTTTGTGGGCATTGACCTTGACTTTGGGAGTTGTAGTTCACCTATATCCAGAGAGCACTGCGGACTCATGCAATGGTGGATCTGGACCAAACTTGGCATGAATACTCAATATGCCCAAATGTGAACACTGGTGTAGTCTGGGGAAAATAGACCTTGACATTTGGGAGTTGTAGTTATTGGGATTTATAGTTCACCTGCAATCAAAGAGCATTCTGAACTCGACCAACGATGGAATTGGCTCAAACTTCCCACATGGAATCCCCATGACCATCAGAAAATACTGTTGTTTTCTTATGGTCTTTGGCGACCCCTCTGACACCCCCTTGCGACCCCCTTAGGGGTCCCGACCCCCAGGTTGAGAAACACTGGGTTAGTAGGTTTGTTTGTTTATTTGTTTATTTATTTGTCGTGTCAGGGCAACCAGTGAATTATATTACATTTCTAACAGAACAAAGCAAACAAACAGACAAAATACAACGTTTGACCAGTCTCTAGCCCCTTGGAATGCCTCTGGTGTTGCCGCAAGAAGGTCCTCCATTGTGCATTATGTGGCAGGGCTCAGGGTGCATTGCAGCAGGTGGTCAGTGGTTTGCTCTTCTCCGCACTCGCATGTCAAGGATTCCACTTTGTGGCCCCATTTCTGAAGGTTGGCTCTGCATCTTGTGGGGCCAGAGTGCAGTCTGTTCAGTGACTTCCAAGTCGCCCCGTCTTCTGTGTGCCCAGGAAGGAGTCTCTCATCTGGTATCACCCACAGATTGAGGTTCTGGGTTTGAGCCTGCCACTTTTGGACTCTCGTTTGCTGAGGTGTCCCTGTGAGTCTCTCTGTAGATTAGTAGGTATCTTGTGTCCAAATGGTGTCAATGCGCCCAATGGTTTTTGAGTTATGGTAATCCCACAAACGGACATGACATTCTTATTGATATAGAAGAATTGGTATTGTGATTATTCTATTGGTATGATTCCCGGCTGCGAGGAGTGAATGTGGGAGGGAGCTGGGGTCCCGTCCCCCCAGGTGGGCCCTCTGCTGACCCTACCTGCTTCCCTCACCTTGCCTTGCCTTGCGCAGCCTGGAGGAGAGCTACCTGCTGGACCGGTCGCAGTGGGGTCGCTGCCTGCTCCCGGAGGGCGTGGTGGAGTTCAACGTGGTGCTCTTCTCGCTGCTCCTGGGTGCCGCCCTGGCCGAGCTCGGGCTCTGCCTCATCCAGGTCTTCAACGGACTCTTCGGGTGCTGCTGCGGGACCTGCCGCGACGAGGAGGAGCCCCCCGCCCTGGTGAGAGAGACAGAGAGAGGCCACGCCCCCACACAGCCCACCCCCAACCCCCCCCCCCCAATCACCCACATTCCCTGGATTGATTGTCTATATATCTATATATATAAAAAGAGAAAGGGCGTTCAACGGGACAGCAAAAAGCAAAAAAAAACCCCGATGAAAACTTACCAAATTTACCATGCACATACCTCAACCCACAAGGTGTGCACAAATCGATTCCAAATTCTAAACAACATTTCAACACACTCACAATCACAAAAAACAACTGAGCATGCGCAAAGGCGCCCCGCCGCAAGTCCCTGGCACGCGCACATGGCTGGCCGGCCGGCCAACGCACCCTCCGCGCAAGCCACACCCCATCCTCCATCGCCCCGCCCCTACCCTCCCCTACGCCCTCTTTCCAACGCACCCCCTTCTTCTTCCCCCGCCCACGCCCCCCACGTTCACGCCACGCCCCTAAACGCCCATACGCCAACCATACCTCCGGCCTCTCCTTCTTTTTCCCCCGCCCACGCCCCCCACGTTCATGCCACGCCCCCACCCTCCCACGTTCATGCCCCCACCCTCCCCAGCCTGCCCCCACCCTCCCACGTTCACGCCACGCCCCCACCCTCCCCCGCCCCGCCCCTAAACGCCACATTACCTGCATTGATTATATATATATATATATTCTCTAGGGGTGTGTGTGTGTGTGTGTGTGTGTGTGTATACTCGAGTATATACCGTATATACTCGAGTATAAGACTTACCCTTGAGAGGGACAATTAGGGTTTGGGCCAAGCAGACCTTTCCTAGAATCCTAGAGCTGGAAGAGACCCCCACGTGGGCCATCCAGTCCAACCCCATTCTGCCGAAAAGCAGGAACATGTATTTTATTATTTATTATTTATTTACTTTATTTGTCTACCGCTGTTCTCAGCCCTTGGGCGACTCACAGCGGTTAACGACAAGAACAGCAGCAATCCAGTGCGACAGCAACACGGTATATAAAAACAATTCACATCATAAACACATGAACAGTTAACAACAATAACCATCCACTGACGTCTCATCACTAAAAACATGATCCAGATCCGTCATCCATTGTTCCATTCCTATGTTCATTACACTCATTGCACTGTCTATTCAAATGCCTGTTCAAATAACCAGGTTTTCAACTTTTTCCGGAACACCATTAGTGATGGAGCCGATCTAATGTCCGTGGGAAGGGCATTCCACAGCGGAGGGGCCACCACCGAGAAGGCCCTATCTCTCGTCCCCGCCAGCCGAGCTTGTGAAGCCGGCGGGATCGAGAGCAGGGCCTCCCCGGAAGATCTCAAAATTGCCTTCAAAGCACCCTTTCCTTGGACTGCTGTGAGTTTTCCGGGCTTGGTGGACAATTTGTTCCAGTAGCATTCTCTCCTGATGTTTCGCCTGCATCTGTGGCTCATGGCATCTTCAGAGGTCTGTTGGAAGCGAGGCAAGTGGAGTGTGTATGATTTCCCTGTGGAATGAGGTCCAAGGTGGGAAGAAGAACCCTGGCCTGTTGGAAGCAAGTGGGAATGTTGCCACAACAAACACCAGAATCAAGAGAGTAACGAAGGAACACCCCTCAGAGAGAGAAGAACCCCAGGCAGCAAGCAATCAAGGGCCAGCGAGCACCTCCCAAGCAGAGGGTATCTCCAGGCAACAAGGACCAGGCTACCTCTATGCAGAAACCCTCCCTGATTGACTTTGCAGCCTTGTGGCTACTCAGTGCTGATCAAGCTTGCTCATGGAAACATTCCCACTTGCTTCAACAGACATTAGGAAGAACTTCCTGACTGTGAGAGCTGTTCAGCAGTGGAACTCTCTGCCCCGGGGGGAGTGTGGTGGAGGCTCCTTCTTTGGAAGCTTTGAAACAGAGGCTGGATGGCCATCTGTCAGGGGTGATTTGAATGCAATATTCCTGTTTCTTGGCAGAAGGGGGTTGGACTGGATGGCCCAAGAGGTCTCTTCGAACTCTAGGATTCTAGGATTCTATGACAAGGGTTCTTCTACCCTGGACATTATTCTACAGGGAAGTCATACACACTCCACTTGCCTCACTTCCAATAGACCTCTGAGGATGGCATGAGCCACAGGTGCAGGCCAAACGTCAGGAGAGAGTGCTGCTAGAACATCTCGGCTATGTATCTCAGGCCCCTTCCTTTTCCTCTCAGCCCCCCCCCCCAAAAAACCTCTGATTTTGCTTCTTCCTCTTTCCTCCTTC